TCCATGGGACTTTTCCAATGGAAAATAGCTTCTTTATAATGGTTCAGATTATTAAAATGTTCTCTACACTTAGAAAAAATTTGGTTGCTCTAAGAACTGTTCACTGAAAGGTTCTTTGGGGAACCTAAAATGGTTCTTATAGCATTGCTGTGAAAAGCCTCTTTTGGAACCTTTATTTTTAAGTGTACTGTATGTACTAAAGCAATGTTTTTTGTGGCATCTTGTGCTGTAAAATTATGTTTTAAGACTTTTTTCATCCAGCTGTTTTGAGCACGAGCGTCTGCTGTTAACGGAACCCCCCTAAGAAATGTGTCTGAATTGGGGTTTGGTGTAAAGCCTGATAATAGAGGGTTTCCTTGAAAATATGTAGTTTTACACATCCCTAAGAAGCAGGAATTAACATTGTAATGCCACTGAGGACTCATTTGATGTCTCAATAGAATTTCGCTCAACAGATTAAGCATCAGGCTTGCTAAACTAACCTAGGAAGCATTTATATCACTGGGAGAGCGAGGAGCGCATCTGCTTCAGGGCTGCATTGAACTTTCTGCAGTCAAGATGGCGTGATTGATGCTCTCGGAGCTTCCCGTGTGTGGTCTTCAGTCACGTTTGCACGGAGGAAACTATTGATTGGGACGAGAGAAATCATTCAGGCTGATAACAGTAATGAACGAGCTGGAAGCTCGCTTTGGAAGTTCAGCACGGCATCATGTAACGTAAAAGAGATGGAAGGAAAGATAGATGGGAATGTTGGTGTTTGAGTATTTTAGTGTATTATTATGGACACACTGTAGATACAGAATCAATATTTAGGGAAAAGCAACTTGCATGTCAGTCAGAACTGATGTTTTCAACAGAAATGTATATTCTGAAGCTGTAGTGTCATTTTTGTACCACTAGTGGCACCAGATTGCAAAAATGACCAATCAGGTCTTCAAGCATTGATTTTCTGTGAGGAAGCTGTTATATTAACCGATCTGACAACACGTACTCCAGCGAGCGTAGAAGCTTTGGAGAGAGCATAACTTTTTCAAATTAAACCGTTATGAGACCTTAATTATTTCATTGGAATGGGGTCAAGGATGAACTGCAAAAACGTAATTATATTAGATCAGCCAGAACTCAAAGGTTATTTCAGACGTTTGGCAGCACGGCGGAGCTGCTTAGCCAATGAAACCGCTCATAAACAAACCTACGTCAACTCAATAAAGATAATGTGAATCTGGGCAAAAAGAGGATATTAGCAAAGCACATTTTAGAAACATCTCATCTCTTGATAACCGTGCCGTGGTTTGGGAGAGGGCAGACATCTTCCCGGAGAACTTCTGCCGTCACTTCTCTCCGCCAGTGCGGCTGTTTTTCCCTCCCAGAAGGTCGTTTGGTTAATGCACATTTTGGTCTTCACAGGCTCTTAACTGCTTTTTAATCAGTGATTATTAGAGATGTGGAAGGCTGTGCAGGCGCCGGAGTCCCCAGACGCAGAAGAGTGCCTGTCAATATGTCATGTCAATTATCCCACCGCGAGACGGCCCCCTCCATAGCAGATCTACTCCAACACTTACCTCCGCCTGCACGAGGAGGGAAATGATCTCATCGCTGGGCGTTCCAATTGACTTTTTGAAAGATAGTAGTATGCAGTGTGTATACTGTGCACAATTTGTCACTTTTCTGTGTGTGTGGAACACCTGAACGACCTACTATTTGACAAAACGTGCAGTACACAGCCTGTGTAAATAGTGTATCCTACAATGTAATGAGGCTGGCTTGGCCTTTCATTCCAACTAGATGTGTTAATGTTTATAAATAAGATCTTATTTGTGATATGTTTATTTTCAGTGTACGTAAACAAACATATCACACCAGCCAATAGAGTCAGTACATTTGTTGGTAAAAATGAAAAAAGTGGGCAAATTATACAGTAAAAATACAATTATATATAAAGTAACACTTTGAAGTAAGATCACATTTTGAAGACTGAAATAGTATTTCCTTGTAAAACTCCAACAATCAGTAATCAAATTTACAACTTCAAAAAATACATTTACAGTGTAATTTTCGGTTTCAAACTTTTTTCTTAATGTTACGTCAAATCATACCATGTCCTCAGCTGTGAGTTCTGACCAAGTTTGTGTCCAATTTGTTCAACCTATTCTACTATGCTAAAGCAAGAACACTCGTTATCTGCTTCCATGTACTTCCAGAGTTTGTTTGTATCATGAGTGTTGAAGATGTGTGTCCATGCACACTGAGTGCTTATTTACCTTAATGTATTCTAAACATAGACCTGACACTCACCCTTATCAAACATGTTAATTGCCAATTAAGCCTGAGCTTCAGACTGATGCTTAATTACTGTTAACGAGAGCTGAGTTGCTGTGAGGTCTTCTTGCCTCCCACACACCTTTACTGTGAGAAACACTGACTGTAAAGAGCATCATGAATATTCATGGAGAATCGGACACACCTCTAAAGACGAGCTCCTGGCGGGTGTGTGGTTAGCATCCTGCTAGTTTATATGTGTCGTTGAGTGCACACCACAGGACCACGCTGAGCTGACAGAAAACCCCTCTCATGACACACTTATGACACCTGCATATGCAAATCTCAGCACTGCAGGCTTGCCGAGCCTGTCTCACCATGAGCTCAGAGAGAGAAATAGAGAATAAGAGTAAGTTTTAGCACTGAAACGGGGATTAGATGTATATTAACTATATTGGGGATTCTACAATATAGGCATGATTATTAATGTATTGATTAAAAACAGCAGTTCATTCACATGGAATTGTTTTTCAAAGAATATGGTATATACTCATAAATTACATTATGTGATGCAAAAGTCATTCGATTTTTAGTTACGGGCATATTTTTGCGTTTTACAAACACAATCAATGAAAAGCAGATTAGCATTTTTTGCTGACTGGGTGTCATTTGAAGAAAAGCTAGATGGGACGCATTGGTAAACATGACACCAAAACAATATTTAGCTTTTAATGAAGGCAGGCTGTTTGTTTTCTCATATATTTGAGATTAAATCTCATCAAGCCCCTTTGCGGTTTGAATTATATTAGGGCGTACAGTAATAGAGAGCTTGTGGCAGGATGAATGATCTTTATCTCTGACCTGTCTTCTCTTCATCTAAATGAATGATTCGATAGGCTTTCTTACGCCGCGTCTGTAGTTAATACTGTTCAGCTATTTTGGTGAATTCTAAAAAGATGAAACTTTAATAAGGCGCGTTTGACAGCATATATATGAGAACCATGTATTTTTATCTATCGATCAGAGGAAATATTTCTGAAACTAATAAAGATATGTGTGGCATTAGATTTTATACTTCGACAGATTATTTGCCGGGAGTTATTGTTCGGCTTAAGCAAAATGTGAGTTTCTATTATACTACAGTGGCTAAGCACTGCTAAAGCCGTAATATCCATTTATGAAGATATTCATTTCATATTCAGCAAAATTCATGAGGTAGAAAATGTTATTATAGAGCCCATGAAAGCCAAAATGAGCCGAATGAGAAAAAGTTTGCCTGTGGGTTCACGTATCACGTATGTCTCTGCAACCAAACAGCACCACTGAACAAAAGAAATCATGGTCATATCATGCCTTATCATTTATTCATTTTATTAAGGTAATTCTATTACTTTACTTTTGTCCACTTTGTATCTACTTATGTTTTAAAGTTGTTTTTTTCTCTGGGGGGAAAAAAGTACTTTTTCATGACCATTCTATCTAATTTCACACAAAAATGACTTTAAATGACCTTACACTCTTAGAAGAAAAGGTCCTGTATATAACATAGGACCTTAAAGGGATCTACCAGGCGCATCATATTTGGAGCCCCTAAAAGGTTCAATTAAAAGAACCCTTTGGGGTTCTTTGTAGCCAGGAAAAATAAACATAAAATTTCTCGTGCAATTTTTGAAGGGGACACAAATAAAACGGCTAAAATTGTACTTGTAAGGATATGTATACACAGAGGAATGGCTTACTACTATTAGTCCAGGAAGGGAGGGAGTAGCAGGGAGACCGTGCCAAATTAGACAACTTCAAGCTGTTGTGGTCGCACCGTGACAGCGCTCGTGTCCGTTGTAGACATTACTATCTGTCACAGTGTTGCCAAGTCCGCGGTTTTCCAGTGGAATTGGGCTACTTTGTATTTCATGTCCGCGGGTTGAAGTGACCCCAATAACGTGTATTTTAGCCCCCGGAACGCAATTTTTACCGGGGGACTGCCTCGAAACGTGGTTAGTTTGGGCTAGATTTGGCCTAATTTTGAGTAGCAATTGGGCGGGATTTGTTGTGAAAACCTGGCAACCCTTTCTGTCAAGCAGGTAACGTTCATATTGCTAACATAGTGAATCGTCGAAAAATACATTGGCATCATCTGTATTAAAGAGAAAATAATCACTTCATCCGATGTTTAAGTGAATAAAATAGCCTTGACGGCCTTACTTACTGGAGTTCCACAACTATTGACTTTGTTCTCTCACCGGACTCGTGTGTGTAGGTAAGTGATGTAAAAGAGAATAGCAGGCATTTGGACCAAAGCACTGTGAGGCAAGGGAGGGGGATACTCAAAATTTTTCTAAATTTAAAACGCATTTTAACGCATTACTACTTACACAACTATTTAAAGTATAAAGCATTGTTATTTACAATACACAGCGTGTTTTTAATCATATTTTTAGGGGGGACAACCCTCAGTTACGGGGGGTCCTGTCACCAATTCATAGCATATGTTGCCCTTATAATTTTCAAATTGTAGGTCTACAATGACTTGGACTTTACAAAACAGGCTACTATCCAAGTGACCTGAAAACTGTGCGCTCAGGAAAGCATTGAACTAGATAAACACTGAAAGTCCAAGCCAAACCCTCATGAACCAACTCAGCGACAGAAGGTCAGTGACTTACTCCATCAATAATGAAAGTGTGTGTCTGCTGACTAATTATTGATCAGCATCATGTTTATATCAGGAAATAAGGCTGAACATCTGCAGCCTTCTCGAGAACCTTGACAGATCCAAGCACCAGGTAAGTGTTTTCGGCTATTTTTCAGCCACGTGACATCCTGTCTTTAGTAGATGGAAGACCTGCTGGTAGATGCGGCACAAAAGAGATATTGTTGAGATAAAAACAAGGCGGTCGTGACAGAGACACGGGCCACTCGGTGAGTTGAGACAGATGGACAGGCCCGGTGATGTCCCCTTATGAGTGAGACCTGATGGGACAAATGTGGGCAAATATAGTTCCAGGTCTGAAACGCAGGGCCACTCAAACGTTCAGATTTATTTATTAAAGAAAAAAAAAAATCCTGACAAATAGCATCACTGTTTCCACAAAAGTATCAAGCAGCACAACTGTTTTCAACATTGATAATGATAAGAAATGTTTCTTGAGCACCAAATCAGCATATTAGAATGATTTCTGAAGGATCATGTGACACTGAAGACCGGAGTACTGATGCTGAAATTCAGCTTAAACATCACAGGAAAAAAAATACATTTTATACTAAACTAATTATTTAAAATTGAAATAATATCCCTCAATATTACAGTTTTTACTCCCATTTTTGATCAAATAAATTCATCTTTGGTGAGCAAAAAAATCTTACTGACCTCAAACTTATTTTTGGTACTGTACAACATGTTACTTGCATGGTACAAACACTATTGAATAATGTTGTTCTTTTTTTCAGAGGCCTCTTTAAAGCATGAAACTCACTTAAATTTCTCTCTCTCCATCACAGCTCACCATAGTCACTAGTGGAGATCCTGTGACCCTTGTAGTACCATCAGCCACTCAGCATTGTCAGGGATCCGGTGCCAGCTGAGCAACTTAAAGATGAATGGGAACGCTGACAGACCATGCTCTTCAGGTAATGTAGACCTCCTTCTCTAAAGAATCTAAAACATTTGACATTAACACCAACAACCACAAAAATAACCCGAATCAAAATTGAAATCAGTGAACAAACATCTCGGTTTCATTTTTAATGTTTTGTTTTTACATTTTTCTTTTACATTTGAACATTACAATAGTTTTCTTCCCTTGCTCCATTCCTTTCAATTGTTTAAATATTATGTGACTGGATCTGTAAATTTTTTCGAGACTCGATATTTAGTGCGTTTGCCTCTGGCCACCGGACTACACCAAATAAACAAGTCATCAAACAAAACAGTTTATATCTGCAGCAGAAAAAAAGACACATTTACATCAGAATATACATATCAGATCATTTAACATTAAAAATCTGCATTTTATATATATATATATATATGCGTTTGACCTAAAACAGCTTTTCAACTTGAAAGAAAGAAAGCAGCAGCTCCGGGTTTGAGTCAACTTTTTTTTTCAGTGTCTTCAACAGGCTGTATATTAAAATACGTCAATATTTCAGATAAAAGGTTTGCTATGCCCTTGAAATGAAATCTTGAGCGCACCAGTAATAGATTGCTTTTCGTTTGGCTTCTTCTCGACCTGCGTTCTGGATGCCAGCGGCAGAAAAATAAAAGCAACATTCACAGAACAATTTTTCATACATCGAATCTCTGTAAGGTCACTCGTGACAGCTTAGCATGTGTAAAGAGAAAACGGTCGTTCTTTTTGTACACAGTGCAAAGCTTCCTCCATACACTTGATCTGCTCTGAATAAATTAAATCTCACAGGACTGAGGTATGATTGAAACATTAAAAATGTTTGCCGCCAAAAGAGAAATAAACCGCTTTGTTCACGTACAGTCCACAACAGGTTCCAAAATCAAGAAGAACGTCCTCTATTAGACAACAATAACAGACAACATAGTAAGTTTCTTTCTTTTTTTTTTTTTTTCCAGGAGTATAAAAGTGTCAGAATGTGCAGAACACAGGAAAAGTCCTTTCGTTGATCACTACACACAGTGTGCTTTGGACGGGAGTGGTGTTTTTGAAACTCCACGGCAAACGAGGAAAGTTTCAGCTCATGTTATCATGTGCGTGAGTATGCTGGTATTACACCTGTAAAATGATTCAGCTCATATGTATACAATAATTTAAGAAATCAATGTAGTTTTTTTCACCGTCATACTGTCAATTACTTTAATTTCACCCTGATTTTCTTTTGAAACACTATCAGAAAAATATGCCTGAACTGATTATATGCAGTGAAGTATATTTACATTTCTCATATTTGAAATCACCATGTTTTCATTGAAAAAAAATTACAGTGTACTTTTTTTTTTTCTAAATAACAACAACACATACATAGATATATATAAAAAGGACCATAAAAATATTGGAGTCCTCTCCCTCTGTATTGCCCAAAAATAGGTCATTATGATCAACAATGAGACTTCACAATTAAAAACAGCTACTAAGATTCAGTTGTTCTCTTTTTTTCCAATAGATGAATGGCATGGTGTCTTTCAGCACAGTGCCTGTCCATGTGCAAAAAAAAATTTAACTCAAAAGAATTGTGACAAAATAATTCACTCATCTATATATGTTTTCCTAAAAGCCAGAGTCATTTAAAAAGCATACAGAAAGAAAAAAATGGGAAGGAGTCCTGCAGTGACAAAGGAGGGATTACAGTTACAGCAGTTGTGATGTTTGTTTTTCTGAGATGATCGTATTTTTCTTGTCCTCTATGTTTGGTCCCCCTCCCCTCTGTCCATTCACCAATCACAACCTGTAGTGCTTGAAGTCTTTGACATCAACTGTACACAAAACAATTTGACTCCGGCCATTTTACCAGGGCCTCCCGATGAACCCTGGTGAATCAAAACAGATATGAGTAACATTAAAGAACGAGAAAAAAAACCACTTGTTAAACAGTTTTGTTTCAATGATTATTGTTGAGATTGTGAATTGAACAGCATGGCTACATAAAAAGGTTTTAAGTGAATCAGAATTAGTTAATTTTGTCAGCCATTTTTAATTAAGGCCTTTCCACACTGAGTGCGATGCGAAAAAACGAGGCGAATCACCGACGAACGGTGCTTTCACACCGAACGCGAAACGATTGTTCGCCTTCTGCTAATTCACGCCTGCACGCTAGGTGGGGCCGACCAACAATGCATCTCGTAAATGGATTTAACATCATCCGCTGCTCAATATGCAGCATTAAATTAAGATAAACAAGGTTCTACACCAGAAACAAACTGTGTTGTTATACTTTATAAAGCTATACTTTAAAATGTATGTAATTATTAATGTATTTGCTTACCCACTTTAAACCATCATCGAGAGCATGTAATTACTTCCAATTGTGATTAGTGCTGGGCGGTATGACCAAAAATTTATATCACGGTATTTTTCAAAATTATACCGGTTTCACGGTACATGACGGTATTTTTTTTTTCATGCATGACCGGGTTATATGTTGTTAACCATATTTTCTACTGATTGAGAGGAAATACTGCAGTATATTGACTTAGAATGCCCTATTTTACTGTCACGATGAGTGAATATTGTCAAAAAATACCACACTAAATAAATAGTGACTAAACACGACCCCTTTTAATAC